GTAGGGAAATACTCTGACAACTGTATAGGGAAGGCTGAGCACTGATTAACTTGACATCAGTTTGAATAGTTGTTATGCTAGGTAACCTTTACCAATGTTATCGCTGAGATACATTTTGGTTTTTTTTAAAAGCACATCTGCATACTACTTTTCAATAAAAAGCTTTTTAGAACTTCAATTGCAAGCAACAGATTATACACGAAACACCAATTTACTTACCTATTAATTCAGCAACCGCACTAAATGGCCAAGTGTGACTAGTAGAATTTGTATGTAAAAACTTCGGGCAAAGCTGAAATAAACCAATGATTCACGTAAATTAATTAAGGTCTTACTTTTGAGAACAGACGCCAAAATAATTTTCTGTCCCAGTATTAAGTGAGACCAAGCAAGAATGACTTAGCTGCTTGCGTCAGGATATACCTGGAAGACATAACCCGGAAAATGAGATTCCTGGAAGATAAGGCTGTAAATCAACTAAACAGTTTCTCATCAAGCTGTGCTGCAAAACCCTTGCCTCCTGTGTCCACCAATCCAGAGCCATATCATAAAGTGCCCAATCCCAAAGCTATCCACCCTACAAGACCTACCTCAAAATTACCATGAGATAAAACTAAGACTTTGTCAAAGGGGTGTTTTCTCCTTTAGTGCATTAAGCTTAAGAAACTTAGCTTTGCTTATTTATCAACAGGCTTTTCTCATGGTCTCTCCAAGTTCATTATATCAACAGTTGAACTTGCAGCCCTGGAACAGTATACATCTATAAAGCCTTCAAACAATGTCAAATTAACAGCTCAAATGCAACAAACCTTCTTGACCTCCAGAGATTTTATGTCCGATTCATGGTAATACAGTATGGAAGAGTATGTTAATCAACCTCATGCTATAGGGAACTCTCTAAATTCCTGAGTAGTGCAGATATCAAATGCCTAAAAATGTACAAATGGTTTAAAAAGGCTGAGGCTTGGAAATTTCAATATGCAGAGTATTTCCATGAAATGAGGACTTTTTTGTGTTCATTATGAACAGATTATCTCATATTTAAGGGAGAAAAAAGAGGCACTTTAAGTGTTTCATGTGAAGAGCCCTAGAAATATGATTAGATTATAAATCCAACCAGCTGCATTTACAGTGTTCAGCTGCTGCCACAAGGTGTCAGAAAGAGGTCTACTATTCCTCTGTCCACCCTCGATTTTAGACAATCCCTAAGCATTTGTTTACTATCAGGTTAAAGTACACATGTGAAAAATAGTATTCTGTAGAAGAGTGGTCTTCAAACTGGAGCATATGTAACTCAGACCTTCTATGGCATACTTTCTATAGCATACATCCACATAATAATGGTGTATAAGGAATTCCCCAACTTTCTAAAACAAGGGTTTTGATAAAGAAAATCAATTTCCAGGCCTTCATCTTCTACAAGAAACCTTTTGCCAAATTAGTATACCTGAGTCCTGTCCCAGGCCCTCCCCTTGCACAATCATCATTCCTCCATTTATAAAAGAATACACAGTGTACTCCTCACCCATTCTAAATCTTACTATGGGGCATGGCTTTGGGGTGTAAAGCCTCTGGCTACCAAAGGAGAAAACGATTAATCAACACCAGAAACCCTTAGAATCGTTTCTGTCTTTGCTCTCTATTTTACGAATTTGTTAGGTGTGAAGTCTGGAGTTAGAAATTGGGTATTTTGGTCCATGTTGTAATACTTTGATTTTAGATGTATGGCAGACTGTCAACTTACATTTAATGACTTCATCCTATATACCAACTCCAAACTGACATGGTACACATTGTTCTTGAGTAAGAGTCCCGGGGGAACAAAGCAAAGAAGGCATCAGTAAGAAAAGATGAATGCTTAAACAGTGGCTTTTTGGGTATTTAAACAAAAGCATTATTTTCAACTACTATTCTCATCTCTCGAACATGTCATCAGCTGGAAAGAAAAACACCCTTCAACAGCCAACACACACACACACACACACACACACACACACACACACACACACACACACGACATGGACTGTGGAGTATCTTTAACTAGATGTGTGATCCTGGGTAAGCAACTTAACCCTCTGTGCCTCAAGTTTTATCATCTGTGAAAATAAGGATGATAATAATATCAGCTTACCAAGACATTAAGAGAATTAAAAAACTTAATATTTATAAATGCTTAGAAGAACACCTGGGACATAATAAGCATTATAAGTGTATGTTTTTTTAAAAAGGTAAGTATACCCTTAAAGGCACAAATGAGCTCATATATAAATAAAGAAAATCCTCAAGGGCCTCAAGTAAAGAAGGAATTAAAAACTAAAATAAAATTTGAAAATGTGGATTAGAGTGGGGTGCTTAACTGGAATACAAAGGTTTCAATTTTAAAGGTGACTCAGGGATAGGAGACATGGCAGAAGAGAAGCACGCACTTGAAGTAGCTGCCCCCTCTTACCTCCTCAGTAAAAAAGGGGGTGGGGGGAATATGCCCAATGGGAAGCTTTCTGTTTTGCTCTGGACTCTAGATTTAAAAAAAAAAAGTGTAACATGAAATTCTGTAAAGAGACATGCCTTCACTTGGGTTAAGCATTTCAATTTATATAACCTGCAGAACCACTGTGGAGACACAGCCTCAACCAGAGGATTCTCCCAGAGACATTATTTGGGGAATATTTGAGTACACAATCTAAAATAACATTAAAGGAAAAAATCCACCAGGAGAAAATATTAGCAGACAAGATATAGTAGTATTAGACATCGCCGCCCAACACTAGGTAAAAGAAATATCAGCCTATAAAACAGGAATCTCTTGAAATAACTAGACATTTAAAAAGTAATCCTCGGGCTTCCCTGGTGGCGCAGTGCTTGAGAGTCCGCCTGCCGATGCATGGGACACGGGTTCGTGCCCTGGTCCGGGAAGATCCCACATGCCGCAGAGCGGCTGGGCCCATGAGCCATGGCCACTGGGCCTGCACGTCCGGAGCCTGTGCTCCGCAAATGGGAGAGGCCACAACAGTGAGAGGCCCGCATAACGCAAGAAAAAAAAACAAAAAACAAAAAACAGGAATCTCTTGAAATAACTAGACATTTAAAAAGTAATCCTCGGGCTTCCCTGGTGGCGCAGTGGTTGAGAGTCCGCCTGCCGATGCATGGGACACGGGTTCGTGCCCTGGTCCGGGAAGATCCCACATGCCGCAGAGCGGCTGGGCCCATGAGCCATGGCCACTGGGCCTGCACGTCCGGAGCCTGTGCTCCGCAACGGGAGAGGCTACAACAGTGAGAGGCCCGCGAACCACAAAAAAAAAAAAAAAAAGTAATCCTCCCCTCCAAAAAAAAACACAAAAATGAGATACAACGAAGACCACACAGATATATTAAAGAATCAATAGAGGGACTTCAGACTTCCCTGGTGGCGCAGTGGTTAAGAATCCGCCTGCCAATGCAGGGACACAGGTTCGAGACCTGGTCCAAGAAGATCCCACATGCCACGGAGCAACTAAGCCCGTGCGCCACAACTACTGAGCCTGCGCTCTAGAGCCTGTGTGCCACAACTACTGAGCCCGCATGCCACAACTACTGAAGCCCATGTGCCTAGAGCCCATGCTCTGCAACAAGAGAAGCCACCACAACGAGAAGCCCGTGCAAAGCAACGAAGAGTGGCCCCTGTTCACCACAACTAGAGAAAGCCCGCACGCAGCAACAAAGACCCAACGCAGCCAAAAATAAATAAATAAAAAATATATTATTAAAAAAAAGAATCAACAGAACTTTTAGAGTCAACAAATATTCACAAATGTAAAAAATCATTTAAATATAATATGGAAGCCTGAACACATGGACAGTGTTTACCTCTGCTGCCTCCCGAAGCCGCCCTATAATGAAGGAAAAAAAGGGGTATAAACCCAGAAGAACAAAGAGAATCAAAGAAGTGATTACTAATAGCAGACAAAATAGTCAGTAGTTTGGAAACTGGAAAGCACAGACTAGTGACAAGTGATTTAATAGCCTGGAAAAAGCTAAATCCGAAGCCTGTAGGAGATGAGAAAACCAACCAGAAGCAGGTCAGGAACCTTGGCAACCCCAGAAAGTCTTAAAAATTAGACTTTGTACCTTTGAAGTAAAAGATACTAGAAGTTGTATGAAGACAAGATAGGTTGAAAGTCTTTAAAAGAAGAAAGATTCCCCAGATCCTTCTTTTACCCTGAGCAGCCCTTCAACTACCCTCAGCAAACCACATAAGGCTGGAGGTCTGTTCTCTGGAGAAACTGACAGTGGCAGGCTCACAGACAATCAAAAGCAGGTGGGTTAAAAGCAGGTCAGCAAACAGACCAGAAATAAACCCTCTCATATATGGTCAAATGATTTTCCACAAGGGTATAAAGACCATTTAATGAGGAAAGGACAGTTTTTTCAACAAATAGTGCTGGGAAAACTGGATATCCATAAAAAGAATGAAATTGTAGCCTTACCCTATACCATAAATAAAAATTAACTCAAAATGGATCAAAGAGCTGAAACCATAAAACTCTTAGAAGAAAACATAGGGGAAACCTTTTACTACATTGGACTTGGCAATGACTTCTTGAAATCACCAAAATTTAAAACTTCTGTACATCAAAGCAGCAGTCCCCAATCTTTTTGGCACCAGGGACTGGTTTCCTGGAAGACAATTTTTCCACAGACTGGCTGGGGGGGTGGTGGAGAAATGGTTCAGGCGGTAATGCAAGCGATGGGGAGCCGCAGATGAAGGAGATGAACCTTTACTCGCTTGCCAGCCTCTCACCTCCTGCTGTGTGGCCTGGCTCCTAGCAGGCCATGGACCACTGCATCAAAGGACACAATCTACAGAGTGAAAAGGCAACCTACAGGATGGGGGGGAAATCTGCAAATCAAGTATATGATGAAGGGTTAATATGTAGAATTTACAAAGAACTCCTACAACTCAACAACAAGAAGACTACAAACAGATTAAACAATGGGCAAAGGACTCAGATATTTCTCCAAAGATGCTCAACATCTCTAATCATTAGGGAAATGAAAATCAAAACTACAATGAGATACCGCCTCACACTCAAAGGGTTGGGTGTTGTTAAAAATCAAAATAAAAAATACAACAACAAAAGCAGAAAGTAAGTGTAGGGGAGGCCATGGAGGAACTGGAACTCGTGCGCACCCTTCTAGGGAATATAAAATGGTGCAGCCACTGTAGAAAATATAGAGGGGGCTCAAAAAATTAAATATACATTTGCCACAGGATCCAACAATTCTAATTCTGGGTATATACTGAAAAGGACTGAAAGCAGGGTCCTTTTTTTTCCTCCTTAAATGAAGTATAGTTGATTCAGGTGTACACTCAAGTGATTCCATTATACATACATACATATATACACACACAAAGATATGTGTGTGCATGTGTGTGTATACATATATATATATGTATGTATAACACATACTTTTCCCAGACGCTTTTCCAGTATAGGTTATTACAAGATATTGAATATAGTTCCCTGTGCTATACAGTAGGTCCTTACTGTTTTTTATTTTGTATAAAATTTATCTGTTTTGTACACAGTAGTGAAATCAGGGTCTTCAAGAGACATCTGCACACCCATGTTCACAGTAGCATTATTCATAATAACCAAAAGTGGAAGCAACATAAATGTCCATCGATGAATGAACAAAATGTAGTATATTCATAGAGCGGAATATTATTCAGCTTTAAAAGGGAAAGAAAATTAGATACATGCTACAACATGCATGAACCTTGAGGACATTATGCTAAGAGGAACAAGCCAATCACAAAAAGACAAATAATGTATGATTCCACTTATATAATGTACCTAGAGTAGTCAAATTCACAGGAGGTAAAACGGCCAGGAGCTGGTGGAAGGGGGAATGGAGGGTTATTTTTTAATGGGTACAGAGTTTTAGTTTCGCAAGATGAAGAGTTCTGGAGATTGGTTGTACAACATTGTGAATGTACTTAACCTACTGAGCTGCACACTTAAAAATAGTTAAGATGGTAAATTTTATGTTATGTGTATTTCACCATAATAGTAAACAAATGAAAACCAAATCTGCAAACTGAACAATGGGATACTCCTATCTCCTTTTCCCTGCTTCAGAAGAGCTAGCAGCCAGGATTATATAAGCCATGCAGGAGACTAGATGTAGAATTCCTCTCTGGAAAACGGAATGATTTCTAAAATTTCTATTTGGTTCTTTTACAATTGTGCCAGGCCATTCTGGATAGCTTTTTTTTAATCCCTCACTTGAAAAAAAATTATTTTACAAGTTTTAAAAGTTATTTTAAATATACTTACTTTATGGTCTAACACTTCCATTCTTTACGGTCAACAGACACTGACAGAGAGTGCTCCAACAACACTGCTGGCTCCTTCTACCTGATCACCCAACACTGAAGCCCACCAAAGGACTAGCTCTACTTGGGTATGAACATCCATTTTTTTAGTGTCTCACTTGGAGATATAAGTAGAAGGCTGACCATCTCCAGACATTTGAGAATGTGTAAAATTAGAATAAAAAACACACAGTAAAAAGAATGTAAAGAAACTAGAGGCAATGCAGTGAGCAAAAGAAAACTTCAAAAATACTATGATTAATATACCCAGAGATAAAAACAAATATTTTGTTGAGAAAGATTTTTAAAAGATATTCAGAGAATAAGACAGTGTTTATAATAATTAAATATATGGTAAGAGAAAGGTAGGAGATGAAACGGAGGAAATCTCCCAGAAAGAAAAAGCAATGGGAAGGAAAACAGGAGACAAAAGAAAACAGAAAAATAAAGGGAAAACTGTCACCAAATAAATGAGAAAATTTTCCATATATTATGGACTTGAGTCTCCAGCCTAAGTACCAGTACAATGCACAGGACTCTATTAAACAATAAAGCATGCCTTTAAAATTCTAAAAAGAAATAATTTCTAATCTAGAATTACAAACCCAGCCAAATTATATGTAAAGAACAAGGGTAGCAAAAACATATTTCCAAGAAAAGACATAAATTTTCTTCCCATGTACTCTGTTCTCAAGAAGCTACACCTGTTTTTGGAAAAATGGATAGGCTTCACTGCTAACAGTAAAAAAAAAAAAAAAAAAAAAAAAAAAAAAAAAATATTTACTGAGTATTTATGGCGTGAACAGGACCTTTATAAGACTTTTACAGGCACTGGCTCATTTAAACCAACTTTCCAGTGGGAAAAAAAAAAAAAAAAGAAAAAGAAAAAGAAAATATTTACTGAGTATTTATGGCGTGAACAGGACCTTTATAAGACTTTTACAGGCACTGGCTCATTTAAACCAACTTTCCAGTGGGTACGATTATTTATTCCCACTCTTCAGGTCACATATACAGTTATCAGCCAGGATTTGAACCCAGGCATGTGAGCTCCAGAACCAATGCTCTCAGTCACAAAATGGTTATTAGCATTTGAGAGCTATACCAAAGGAATAAGCAAGCCTTTATTCCAAAGAAACTTCATTTATGGAAACTGAAATGTCTATTTCACATAATTTTCATGTTACGAAATATTATTCTTTTATCTTTCTGCCCCCAACCATTTAAGGATCGTGTGCCATACAAAAACAGGTGGCAGGCTGGATTTGGCCCATAAACTGCAGTTTGCCAACTCCTGTCCTAAAGCAAAAGACCAGTGTAAATACACTCCAGAAGCTGCAGATGGGAGATTTCTATCAATGAGGTTCCAAACGGCCATTACCCACAAAAGAAAGATTTAGCACACGGACAGCTGCTACACCCAGAGAGCCAGCTAACAACAATGCCAGTCTCTCAAGACTGTTTGACCCTTATCTTTGCTCCCTCGGTCTTCTCAATCTTGAAGAGACAGAGATAGCAACTTGGGAGGAGCTGGGGAATGGCGAAAAGAATCAAAGTGCAGAAATAGCAAGGAAAAAAAAAAAAAAAAAACCCAGTTCACTCCTTTTTTCTCACCACAGTTTTCTGGGCCACAATTTGGCCCAATATGAGGGGAAAGAGCAGGGCTTTAAAATGAATAAGAGCTTTAAAAGTAGTTAAAGTCTGACTTAACTGTACCTGAGGCTAATTGGAAAGCATCAGAATCTGTCCAGATTCACCCAGGTGAATTAGCAAATAATGTTTAAAGCCAGTGGTAAGAAAGAGTAAAGTTCCTCTCTGTCTTCCATCTAACTACTATCTCATTCAATAAACCAGTTAGGTAACCAAAGAGCCTTTATTCCAAATATGTAAAGAACACTCATAAATCAATAAAAATACCCCTCAAAAGAAAAAGAAAATATAAAAATAGGCAAAGGATATGAAGTTGTTTTTTTTCTTTTTTAAATCCCAAACCAAAAAGGGTGAAATGTGACAAACTTTCAACTTCAAAGTCAAGTAAACGTAAACAGATACCATTTGACCCTCATCAGGAAGAACGTTAAAGTCTAATGATACCAGGTGTTGGCAGGAATCTGGCTAAATGAATGCAAGTCAAAGGGCAAAATACCATTTTTAACGCAATGGTATTACCATTTGAATAATGAGACTGCTGCAGCCATTCTTTGGCCAGCACCAACACCCTCCAGAGAAGAGGTACATTTTTGTATAACAAGGCCAACTTTTTAAGGAGAATCATGTAGGGAGGCCACGCCCACACCTTAGGCTGTGAAATTTTAATTCATATTGTGTGACCGCTCCCTCCGAAAAAGACTCACAGATCCAAAAAACATGCTCAAGGATCCCCAAGAACCCGAGACGCTCCGGAACAGACACGACCCGGAGACTAGAGGGGAAACGCGAGAGCTCGGTGGTGACCTAGGAGCGATTTGGGCCCGAGGGCTTAACTGGAGGGAAGCGGCAGGAATTTAAATCAATCAGGAAGACTAGTCCCAGCTCGCAGCACCCCGTCCCACCGCCAGGAGGTCAAGGCCGCTGGGCATTTCTGGCAGCAGACCACCTCTCCCTCCCCCTCCGGGACACTCCGCGGGCCCGCAGGCCGGGATGGGTCAGAGGCCCCGCGGTCCGAGGGGCGGGCCGACTGGCCGCCGAGGCCTCGCCCTCGGACGACAGCTGCGGGGCAGCCAAGAGGGAGCCAGGAGGAGGGGCCGCGGCCCCGACCCGCCCCGCCCCGAACCCGCGGAGGCAAAACAGAAACGCAGCCCGGCGCGCGCCGCCCGGCCCTGCCCTGCCCTGCCCGCTGCCGAGCAGCTCCGCCGTCGGTAGCGAGATGGCCGCCGCCGCCTCCCCCGGCCCCGCCGCTGCCCCAGCCGCCGCGCCGGGCCGACAAGTCGCCACCGCCCACTGCCGACCCCCCCTCGCTTGCCCGCCTGCCCGCCCTCCTGGGACACGGCCCGCTCCACCCCTCGCGGCTGCTCACCGCGCTGAGGCGGATCCCGCTGGGTGGCTGCGCCGCCATCTTGAGCGAGTTACAAAGCCAGGACCGACCTCGGCCGCAATCCGACTGGGAGGCGGCGGGAGACAAATGTGGATCCCGAGAGGCCCCTCCCACTTCCTGGGCGGAGCGCGCGGGTGACCGCGCCCACTCGCTTCCGCCTCCTGGCGCTGTGGAATTGGGAGTGTAGGGCAGGGAAATCGCCCTGGG